TGTCTAAACGGCAATGTTGCATTCATCCGACCTGAACGTTATTAATACTTGACAAAGGTCACTATTCTGTGCCTTGCAACGATAGCAAGAAGCATAAGCAGTTAGAAAAACAACCACCATATTGGACTATAACGCAGAGAGCAGTCTTTACTTTCAACCTTCTTGAAAAGATTTTGTTGTTAATGCACTGGCTGAGGTTGGTAAACAAATGAAAAATTGCAAGATGCGCTCCAGCACTACCATCCATGTTTACTTCGGCAAACACAGAGCACGCTCCCGTGTGACGTCATTCCATCCTCTACTGCACATGCCGGACACTTAAGTTGTATAATTGCAGTTCACACTGTAGATCGCACACAAGTTGCATATATTTGGTAATGTGAACGACCACGCAAAAGAATCGGATCTCATAAAAAAAAAAAAAATCGGAATTAAGTATCAAAGGCGTCAGTGTGAATTTAGCCAAAGACATCTGAACTAACGCTAGCAAACAGACAAAACACCAGAAGAATGCTGAAAATTACTGAAATATTTGTTTAGGCTAAATCTTACCATCCTCCAGTGTTGTTGCATTGATTTCTGAACTTGAAGGCCCTGTGCCTGCTCTGTTGAAGGCCTGGACGACCACACCATACTGAGCAAACTTCTTCAGGTTGTCTAAGGTGTAGACCTCACTGTCCCCAGTGGCTTTCATCTCAACAATACTGTACTGGCCATTGCTGCCAGGGCCATTCTCTCTGTAACCGATTTGGTAACCCCGTATTACCCCATTCTGTAGCTCCTTCCTTGGAGCCTGTAAATAGATTGAGGAGAAAGAAACAAAAGCTCAAATAAACAATTTCTTTTTACTTGCTATTTCGTGAGTTAACTCAGGCTATTGGACTATTAAAAAAAAATATCTGCTGTACTATCTCTCTTCGAAGTGAAATCCATCTAATTAAGTTTAGCATGTGCCTTCTTCCTAATTTGTAATAGGAGAAAGTACTTTAAGCCTGACATCCTGTTGTATCAATGTTTGAAACTGCTATGTTTAAGCATTGAAATACTTCCTTATCTGTTAAATTCAGTCATCCAATAAAGGCTTCCTGTATTCTTATACCTTTTAGTTATGCTGCTTATGCTCACTTATTATAGTGAAAGGCAATTCGTAAATAAACAGCTTAAAGTATGGTGCTAAGATAAAAGGATAGTATGCTTGCCCGAGTACATCTTAAGACAGCAAGACACATGCTAATTATACTTGCCTTCCAAGTGACTCGGATACTTTGAGAGGTCACTGGCTGAAGGATTACATCCATTGGAGGACCGTCAGGCTCTGTTCAGCGAGAAACAGAAAGTCTAATCGTTTAACACATATAAACAGCTTAAAGTTGAACCATTTTTAATAATTTTTTATATAAAACAGAAGAATTTTTGAACCTATTCAATTTCATTGCATCTAAGGCATATCATATACTAAGGCTAGCTCAATACCTGTGCAAGGGTAGATTTGCTCTACAGTAAAGATATCCAATCAAATTACCCCATTGCTTGTTGAAAGCAGAGTCTCCCCTACTGACGTTTAAAGTTGCATATAGTAGGAGGAAGGGGACGCCTGCAAAGGCTTATCCATATAAATTATGTCCTAGAGTGGCGATTGAATGATCCTCAGTCCTGGAACCCCAGATTGATGAAGAGATGGAACAAGAACAACCTTCACATGTCCAGTTCTAGGGTTTTGTGGGGGGGGTGAAGGTTTGGAGGCCAGGGTACATATGATATGGTTTTGAAGTGCTTACAACAAAGACCTAACTTCTTAAGCTGTGTAAATGTAACAGTATTGTAGATGCTACTATGCCCTATTAATTTGTGGTAAAACAGAGAAAAAGTTTAAGTAATAATCCCCCTGCATTACCTTCGGGACCTTCGACCTGATGCTAAATAGCCCTTGTCAAAGAATCCTCTGCTCTAATGGAACATTCCTTTACTGTTCCATGTTGAAAAGTTAAAAGCAGTTTCTTTTTTCCAGATGAAAACCTTTTCATTTTAAGTTATAACCCCAAAGGTGATTTACTGATATTGATCCTTTTAAAATGGCTATACTGCTCAAAAACGGATATAATAATTCTAATATCTGAGATACAGTTTCCTTATAAAGCGTTTTTCTTTACTTTCTATTCATATACTGTACTGTCTGATGGATTTGAATAAAAATCCATAAAACAGTCCAATCAGAAAAAGAAAAGACAGAGTTTTAACTAAAGTGCATGCAAATTAAAAGGTAGTGCTTTTTTAGAAACCTACGTGCTTCTTCGGTGCTGATGGTGAGCTCTTTACTGGCCTCACTTTTGCCTATTGCATTGTAGGAAAACATACGGATGCTGTAGACAGAGGCAGGGTGAAGGTCCACGATGTTGGCCTGATTGTTTGTTGGAGAGATATTTCGAGTGGCATGTTTCAGTTCCCAAGTATCTGTTAAAAAGTGGATTAAAAGATCACATTTCAGTAGCCTTTATTACAGTTTTTAATAATCACAACATACCATCAAAATGCTTTGTTGATATGAAAACAAGGATTTTTGTTAGTTACCTGTCTTGTTTTTGTATTCAATGTCATAAGAGGTAATGACACTGTTTCCATCAAATCTTTGTGTCCATCTAAGATTCATGCTACGATCTTTCACTTCTCGCACCTCTAGCTCTGGAGGGTCTGGAGGCTCTAAAAAAAGAAAGTAAAATAAGGTAAATTAAGGACAAAAAGAGGAAGAGGAGACAAGACAGTACCATCACAAGTGGGGGAGTATTAGCAATAAAGAGTAGTTCCATCATTTAATTTAAATGAATACCTTGCACAGTGAGCTGAATAAGGCCTCGTCCTTCTCCATAAGAGTTGATGGCATGACAAGAGAAGAAAACTGAATCCTCACGCTCGGCCGGCTTTAGCTACATTTAGAAATTCCAAAAGAAAATCAAAGTGAAAATCAACCAATTCATTTTCTCAGGATTTAGCATTATATTCTTTTAAACAAGACCCTTAACAATAGTTTATGGTTGCTTAGGTGACCAGGTCTATTCATTATATTTGATCAAATTATTAAATACAAAGGAACATCTTTGATTTCAGCTTTGACTTGCAATTTAGCATCCAACTATTAGAAAAGAAAGCTAACCTGCAAAGCTGTTGTTTAGTTAATTTAAGAACAATTAATGTCTGTCAGAGAGTTAGGTCTACCATCATATAATATTTAAAAAATGCTCTGCGGTGGGCATCCTAAGAGGAATGCAGAATGTGTGGTGAGGGACTAGGTACGGTTTTGGTTGTGATTGATGAAACTAAAAGGAAAAAACATTGTGAAAATAGAGGCATATAAATAACCATTGAATTTCATACCTTAGCTAATGATTTTTCAGTTAACATTAATTAGAAGAATCAAGGGCAACTCTAAGCAAATACTTTAGCCTCGATTGACAGTTATGTAAAAAGCTGTGTATTGTTAGATTGCAGTTTTTAATCATTCTCCATAAACATGCTTTATATATAGGCTGAGTAATTTAAAATTGCAATATAAGTTTTCTTTTTAACAAGTTATATCTAATTTGTATAATTTCTATAGCTTGTATTACTATATCTATTATTTGAAGGTCATAGAGGTTTGTTACTGTACAGAATATTACTCAATTCACAGCACAATAAAGACCATTATCCCTGATCCTGAAAGGTCAAGGATAAATGTGTAAAAAGGTTCCAACGTGAGGTTAGAAAACAATATTTAAAATAATTTAATGTCACAGAGCATTGTTAAATCCATCAAGACAGAAAGAGCTTGTCTCTGCATTACCTATGAATAAATGGCTATTCATCTATACCTACAGGATGAATTAGGAGAGCATTAATCACTTAAGCAGTAAAAGGGCGCATAGTAACTCCAGAAGTTCGATAGAAACAGATCTACAGCTGCAGAGGGAGATTCTGTTAACATCACCACTCCACAAATTTAACATTTATATCAAAAAATAAATAAAAATGTAGAAACAAATCCAAATTAAGATTGGTTGCTGTGTAGTAAACCTGTGCAAAAAGGCGTTTTGATCAGAATACAGTGTAAAACACAGTAGTGGTGGCATTAGGCTGAAAGCCCACTTTACTCAGGCAAATACTCAAAGCTGATGAGAAGATGGATTGAGTTAAATACAATCCAAAACAAACAGAACAAATGTTAAAGACTACAAAGGATTTAGTACTGTTGCAGGGGGTAACTTTGCAAGAGAACAACCACCATAGATTGCAGCCAGAGCAAGAATGGAATAATTTAAAATAAATTATATTCATTGAATGGCTAAAATTCTTAAGAATGTGACCTAAATATAAATGACAATGATTGACGTTTGCAGTTTGTGTTTGATTTAACTGAACTCAAACTACTCTGCAAAGAACAACATGTGAAACCATCAGTTTGTACTGTAGATGTTTATATTTAGTTAAGACGTGTTTCAAAATACTTCCAGCCCCAGCTGCAGCTAAAGGTGTGTCTAGATAGTACTGATTCAGAGCGATTAAATACACCTCGTTGACCTCAAACAATAAAATACAATGCAGTGCAGAAAAAATTCTCAGTGATATGAAGACTTTTGCAGAGCACCACTTAAGGCACAAAAAAAAAAGACTAAAAAAAGGCACTGAGGTTTGATTTCATCAACTACAGGTGCTGCAATGGACAAATTATTTTTTTTTTACCTTGAGTGTAGACAACACCTCATCTGTCTTTTCATTGGGGCTTGTGGTTATGGAGTACCGAGGGTTGCGATCTGGGTCAATCACTGTGTCACCTCTTTCCCAGCGGATGATGATGGGCCATTCTCCTCTGGCTGTGCAGTTCAGCTCCTTCACATGGCCCTTCTTTGCCATGGTAGTATTGGGATGACTGGTGATCATTGCTGGGACTGATGTGAGACAGGAAATCGAGTGTAAGATAATTGTAAGGTGTGGATAAAAGAGTAGAAGGTAAAGGAAATCATTAAACAGATAGGGAAGTTGTATTACAGAGAGAGGTAAAAGAGGAATTAAAGAAAAAGAAGGAGGGGGGGGGACAATAAGCAGAATTTGTGAGGAGAAAAATAAGTGAGGAGGAAAGAGAGGTATAGGAAACTGCCAGTTAAAGGAGGGGTTTAGCGTTCCATTGCATTAGAGCAATGAAAAGCTATGGTCATTGAGGTAAAGTCAATAAAACTCCTTTCTCATTCTCCAATAGTTAACATAGGGGTTGTAAGTCAATGAAGAGGCAAAAAAAACAATACACTCCACCTTTTGTGTTCATTCGATACCCATATCCCTCACACACTCAATCTTCTTAGTTCAACACACATACACCCTGTATCGATCCAACGAGGGTTCTGCTGTTTTGTTTTCATCACTTATTCATCCCACCCTCCCTCTTTTCCGCTTTTCCGTCTTCTCCACTGAGCGATACAGACAGAATTGAGGGAGGCAGAGGAGAGGAACGGTTTAATCAATAAAACTAACAGGAGAAGGAGAAAGAGGGAGCGCATCGAAGAGAGTGGGGCAGCCCCATGGATAGAAAAACATGGGGAGAGCACTAGATGCAGTTATGTGTGCCTTGTTCTACTGGCTTGTGTATACAAGTGTCAAAAGCTGCCAGATATCAAGTTTAACATCTCTCTCGTGAGGACAACTGAATTGTACTGTGAGTTACAGAAAACATTAGCCTTAAATCATGCTGTATTTGACATTGAAAATCTTTATTTTTGGGTTCATTGAGTATATTGGTCATTTCCATTTTTACGCATGTTGTTTCTAAGAGGTTCCAGACAGGTGGCAAAGGATAGATAGAATTGATTACAGATAGTGATCAAGCTCAAAGTCATTTTGACTGTCTTAAGGTAGATCCCATGAGTTGAAAGATCAACGGTTTGATTGTCATCTTGCTGCCTGTCACAGGTTTGTAAACATTAACTTTTCTTCCCCTGGGCTGCTCCTGGTTTTCTCTCCTATTATGTATCACTTTTGCTTTTATCATTTTAAGAGTATAGCAAGATAATTCATTAGTTGTTAAGTGCAAGAGTATCATTACATAAAGTTATAGGCTCCTAAATGTTCTATCTCTACCCCTACCCTGCTTCTCTGTGTGGATTTGCATACTCACTTTTAACAGTTAGGACCATGCTCTTGCTGATGTCTGAACCCACACCATTGGAGGCCTGACACAGGTAGAAACCTCGATCTTCCTCCAGGACATGTCTGATTAGCAGAGAGCCATTAGTCATGATCTGAATACGACCTGTCAGAGGGACCGGGTGGTACTGTTGTGGGTTTCCAATCCCAGCTGGGCAAAAGGTGAGAGCCACAAAGGAAAGGTTACTGTGAAGTATTTTGTAAACAAAAGCTGACAGAAAAACATACCACATGCATACAGTTATGAAAAGAGGGTAATGTACCTAGTGCTCCTCTGGCATGCTTCCACATCACTTTAGGGGGAGGATATCCATCGACAGAACAGTTTAAGATTGCTGACTTTCCATAGATCCCATCCTGGTTGTTGGGCTGTACAACGAATCGTGGCGGGACTGGAAAGAATTTGAGTAAAAAAATGCACAGGTAAAAAGCCAATTTATTTGAAATGCACAGAGTGAAAACTTTTGAATTGAGTGACTTAAAAGTTTGTACCAGTGGGGCTCAATGTTTGTTGATTTTTTAAATTTTTTTACTTCCTCCTCTTGCTCGTGTATGCATTTAAGCATGATTGACTAACACTCACATGCATTCATGTAATACCAAAAATTAAAACTCATCTAATGTATAATTTTGTTATCACATATACTGTATATCACAGTATATATATTATTTCATCTAAAATTCACAGCTAAATTTACATGTTTTTTGCAGATTCTTAATGTTAGGGTAAGCAAACTGTTGCAGCCTTACTGGTATTGTGACAACACACCAAATGTATCTGTCTTCATGCACGCTGGATTGTGTAAACATTATAAAATCCTTTCATGTTGCCCGATTTGCAACACAGATACTCTTTAGTGTAAATATTCAACTGATACAAAAGGTATGCAGAGTAACAGAAATTCTCATGTTGACTCTGTTGTGAGTCGCAGATAGCTACTGTACACCTTGACCTTTGGAACTGGAATGAAAACTGTCTCCTGTAATGAATAAACTAATACCTCTGAATGTAGAAAAATCCCTTTAAAATAGAAAGACTGCCAGATAAATTCACAAATAATGTGAATTAATGCAATAAACATCTAGGACAATCATCAATAATTTATTATTTATTCTAGATTTACTAGTGCCTTTTATTTAATAATTCAAAAATAAAATAATGAATTATTAGCAGAGAATGCCTTTCACGCATACAGTAAGAATGGTATTAAGTGAGATAATATTTGTTTTTATGAAAGACACTTTCAGCCATATAAATGAAAGATCATCTGCTTATCAGCCTCAGCAGTCTCTGTTTTATTTTCCAGCTGGCCTCAAACTACTCATTAATCTTTTTCTGTGCTTACCTGTAACTGTGAGCTGCCTTTCTGTGCTGACACTTGCAGCATCGTTGCTGGCAATGCATGTGTAGTTGCCATTGTGTTTTAGAGACACTTTGGAAATCTGCAGGGAACTCATGAACTCTTTTGTATCAATGGTGATCCCTGATGAGGGTACGATCTCCTGGCCATCCTTACGCCATGTGATGCGGATTGGCATGTCTCCTGATGCCACCACACAGGCGATGTACATCAATTTACCAATGGAGGTCGGGGGAAAGTCAAATGGTTGGATCAGCGGGGGAACTGTAAGAGGAAAAAAAAAAGAATGAGAAGGATTTAGAAAAAAAACCCAAATCGTAGATGCAATAAAAAGGAAAAAAGGTGCCCAGCGGTTTAAAGAACCACTCATTTTGTTTTGAAAATATAAATATTAAATGTGTAATACATAATTATTTCTCAATATAAATGATCAATACAACATGATATCTTGTCTCTGTTTTTTTGGCACTGAATTCTTGAATAGTCAAATAAAGTCCATTAACCAAGCTTGGGCTTGTAACCCACTGCACCGTCCGAGTACAACTCTTCCACTTCAACCCACCATGTCCTGCTTAAGCCAACCCATAATAGCTGCTCTAATTGGAGCCCCATCCATAGGGGGAAAAAATGCAGTGCCATGGATATCAACTAAGGCAATACGGATGACTTGCAGTGTGTAAAGAGGATTTGGATGCTACTGAAGTTTTATGTGTGTCTATGGGCATATTTTATTACCCTGTTGGGACTATTTCCCAGAAATACGCTAGATTTTGCAGACTTATAGGGACTTGTGGGTATAAACAACTGGTTCCCATAAGGAAAAGTTCTAATCTTGGGGTGGCGGTTAGGTTTAGGGTAGGAGTAACTTGGTGATTTATTCTAGGCCTTTTAACACAAACTTACAGAAATCAGAGGTATGATGGGCAAACTCTTAAGTAAAAACACACCTGCATCAAGACAGAGAGTGTTAATTTGCACACACATAAACTCAGCAGAGGAACACTACAGTATAAAAACAAGGGAACAACAAAAATGTCACACATTGCGAGAATGAACACAACCCACATTCACACTTGACAACTTCCTGGAACAAACATGTTGTTCTGCTGCAGCAGAAGACAGAGTGAAGCATTATGAGGGAAAGAAAATTTACAACACACACATTTCATTTATACTAACACATGCAATGAGTAAGGAATGCACACACTCCTAAAACTTGTACAATAGCCCTCCTGCTCTGTGTAATTGTTGAGAGGCTGAGAGCTTGCTCTTTGCCACTCAGCCCCTTAATCAGGGATTATTAGAGACAATACACACAGCTTTGTTCTTTCTTTTCATTCTGTTTCACTAAAACGGTCCTGTTTCCAGCCATTCCAATAATCACTTTGTTCATTGCACTAACAACAAAGTAAATTAAAAAAGATTGTACTCCTTTTTCACTTTTTTTTTATTTGTCCTTTAATGATTGCTATACATTGCAACCCTAACAAAGTAGTCTGATTTACAAAACCTTAATAGAACAATATCAAGTGGAAAGAACCCTGAACATCCCCCAGCAGCACTAATTAATTGATTTAAAAATGGCCTAAGTAGAGATTGGGTTGAGGACAAAATACAGAACTGATTAAAGGTACCTCAGGACCAAATAAGAAAGTGTACCTTAACAGAATAAAGAGGAGGATGAATGGTGTCAGCAGGTAGAGCTTAGCAAAATGATAGCTATATACCTTTATTTTCTCTAACATTTAAAGGTATTTATGGAACGATGCTTCTATATCCCTTTTGTGTGCCTGCTACTGTCTTCTTGAGCCCCCAGTCAGCATCAGCATAAGGCTGCTCACACAGAGCCCGGTTCTGCTTGAGATTTATTCATGTTAAAAGGGTGTTTTTCCTCTCCACTGCTGCTGTATGCATGCCTGGCATGAGGGATTGCTGCAGAGTCAAAGTAAAACTGTGAGGGGATGGAGGAACTAAGCCTGTAAAGTCAATAAATGAGTGTAATAAGCTTCTTTTGAGAGAAATGTTTAAACTAATCTGTCTATATAATTTTTTTAAATTGTCTCAGTAATATGCCTTGAGATGACAAAGTTTATGCTCCTTACAGTTCATTTTGAGGCTTCCAAGTACATATAAACATCTTTAGGTATGAGTAGATGTTATGTAAAATACTGTTTTTAAATACTTCATGTCATATATAATTGATTTGTCCATGTAAAGTAAAAATCAGAATGTGTAATGGCTATGATCTACATAAGGTTTGGTTGTAAAAAAAAATTTATGCACACTATGAATGATAAAACCTTAAACTGAATCGGGGTGCTGTGTCTGTATCTACATTTAGCACATTTGGAAGTCAGGTGCAAACTTGCATGCAAAAATAATTGCAGTCATTGTAGTGAAAAGAAGGCATAAGTAGAATGAATGACTGTTCTGTGGGCGTGTCAACATATTTAGTCAGAAATCTATATGGTAGAGTAGTCTTTGTTTTGTGCTCTTCAGCTGTACCAGATTCATTTTAGAGGTCCCTGGGTTTGACACATGATTTTGCAAATGTCCGTTTGTACTTTTAATCATCATTATCATCATAGCAGTCTGAGTTAGGAAAGATATTTTTAAAAAGAAGCTCCATTTCAGAGGAGAGGTGTTATTTTTACTTGTATTCTATTAATTTGTTTCTTGTCTCAATGTTGTCTCAAAGTACTTAACTAGAAAAAAAACAAAAATTTCACAACAAAGTAAGAATTGAGCATTAAAGGCCTGCAGTGTGAACATAACCCTTGTTCAGTTTATTATATAAATTGGTTATTTATTTATTTATTTATTTAAATAAAAATAAAATATTAAATAAATATGAAAAAAGCTTCCTGGATGGGTAGCGAAACGTCTTCAAACTTGTAAAAACAAGTCCAGTGGATTGTTTTTCATTTTTTGGAATGACTATGACCTCGATGACTGAAAACCTTCACCAGCATATTACATTGAAATGTTGCAATCCCCCTACCAGAGGAGCACAGTGACAGTGGCCAGTCTCTTTTCAAATGAAATGACTCAAACGGGTCATTCAGGACAGTAAAAATTATTTAATGCACTTGGCAAGACATTTCTGAGAGACTGAAAAATAAGACTTACCTACTTAAATCCCGTTACAAAGTTCATCCACAAAAACAGGAAAACAGTCTACTGTAGAGCAGGGTCAACAAACTGGTTCCAGAAAGGGCCGTGGGGCTGCAGGTTTTCTTTCCAACCAAGCAATAGCCCACCAGACTCCAGTCATCCCATCAAGAGAGTCCAATCTGAACATGATGGCTTGATGATATGAATGGAGTCTGGTGTGCTATTTTATTTGGTTGGGAAAAAAAACTGCATAATAATAACATTAAAGTTATAATAATAACAGAAGTAGCAGATTTTCATTTGCACGTTCAAATGGTTCATCCCAACCCCAACTTCAACATAGTAAACTGAGGAAGCATCAATAGTATGATAAAGATTTTCATAATCTCTTTTCTGTAAGTAAAAACCTGTAGAATAGTTATTCTGTTCAGTAGCATCATATATTTTACTAACCTTTGACAGTGACATAAACAGTTTGTGTGATGAATAGCTGTGGTTGGATCAGCACGCTGCACACATAGGCACCCTCATCCATGCCTTTCTGAACATCGCTGAGCTTAAGTGTCCCATTCTCAAACACCACCTAAACAAGTATTGGCAATGTATTAGTACACACTAATGTAATATCAATAATTAATACACAAAGGGCTATAACAAGAACTTTTGAATTGTCTGAAGAAAATAAAAACTCCTCAAAGAAGTCCCAGAATGAAGTAAACTTTCTGTGGAACAGCACTTCCTTATTTTTTATTTCTGTTCTGTGTAAAAAGGGGACCTTACCTGACGATGGTTGTCAGGAAGCAGAATTCCCTCTTTGTACCAGTTGATCGAGTAATAAGGATACCCAATTACTCTACAGTTTATGAAAGTGTTTCTTCCTGCCACCGCTGTAATATTCTTCATAGGCCTTATTCTTGGAGGACCTGATTTTGAGAACAAGATAAAAATGGAAAGGTGGAGAAAGAAAGAGTGGTACAATCAGAGAAAGAAAAGGAAAGAAGGATAAAGAAGATCATTAGTTTATGATGCCAATAGAAGATCTTGGAATTTTGGGAATAATGGAGGGGAGGAAGGGGGGTTGGAAAGGGATGGGGGTTGGGGAGAGAACTTAGGAGAAGAGACAGAAGAAGAAAAATTATATAGCTGTTTAAGATACATCTGATTATTTTGGGGAATTTTATATGTTATTACTGCAAGTGTGAAGGAAAAAAAACACAGTTTTAATTTCTTTTTGCAAGAATATAAGGGAAAAAAACAAGGACTATCACTTTCATTTCCTTCTCAGTTTTTTTTTCAATATGATTGTCATAGAAAATACTTTTTTTTTTCTTTATTACAATTTTTCTTTTTAAACCGTCAGCCCTGTGCTATTTATTTAGGTTTCTAACCACTTTCTAAATCTGGAGACTCCTTTGTCAGTTTTTTTTTTTCTCGTATAATAGCTTAATGTCAGTCAGATTGGAAGGGAAGACCATAGCTGGCCTGCCTGGTCCAGGCTGTGGAAACAGAGCTAACGGGGATAACAGAAGTTAACTTGTGCCCCATTTACACTTCCCCGCTGTAACCGCTCCATGTTCGTACCAGGCTTGGATCAGTTAACTGTTCCGAGCTTGGTTCTTAGGGCAATTTACACATCATGCTCCTATCGGCGGTCCACAATACTATAGCTCTCAAGGCAGGGAATATGCAAACAAAAATGACAAAAATGACATTGAGGAACTCATGTGCCTGGATACCATCCTCCACCCAAATTTCAATTAGAGCCTTGGTCTTGGCATCTTCCCAGGTCCAAAACGCTCTTTTGATGCCTTTTATTGTTAATAGGCTGAGAAGAAGTTTTTGCTGTGAACAGATGAAGAGAGATCTTAGAGTTGCAAAGCTGGGCATGTCGTAAAACCTGCAAAATGATTCAGCTGACTTTAAATAGGAGATGACGCAGCCTGCTCATGCGGTCTTTGTTATCAAAGACCTGAGCCACAGCTTAACCGCGCCAAGCCCCACTGTTAATAAATAGTACTAGATTTAGTGCGGATTGTTTGTGTCTCGCACCGTTCAGTTAAGTTGTGCGTTGATTATCTCGGTTACCGTGCTCGGACTGTCCTCCGCACGATTTCAAAAGGGTAGTGTAAATGGGGCTTTGGGTTCATGCTCTCTCTGGGAGTTCTAGGGAAAATCTTGTCATTTGTGCTCAAAAACACTCTTTTTCATCCTCCAATACCCCCTCTTATTTTGTTTTTCTGTTTTGCTTTTTTTGTTTACAATGGTCAAGTTAGCGCAAGTTTGTAGGCTGTTTTTACTCTGAAATTCACACCACCTCTTTTCTCACAACACAAAGAAACAGAGGGGAGATTGTAGGAAGAAAAAGATTATCAATGCACATGAAAAAGGAGTTAGGGCTTGAACTCCTGGAAAGTGTGAGAACCAAAGTTAACTTCTGCTCTCATGAGCACCTTTTCTGTCATAGCTGGACCAGGCTTGTGGCTATCTTAGCACCAACTCACATTTTTGAGTAACTTGATAAATTAAATAATGAAAATTTCTGTTGGTAGTCAAATTCTTGTGTAACAGACAATTTCTACAGAGGACAAAGGAACTATTCAGCCAGCTCTTCTTCTAAGCTATCGCTAAGCTATTACTTACATCTTTGTCAACCTTTTTCCTCTAGAGACTCTTCTCTCATAGCTCTGTGCTTGAATCTCCCTAAAAAAGTGTTAAGAATCTTTTCAGTCTCTGTCAAATAAATGTTTATTAAGATGTGTGACAATTATACTTGAGAAAAAGTTAATTTGGAAAACACTCAAGTATTGTTTTTACTATTAAAATGTAAAATCGAAATAAAACACTGACGTAGCACTGATATCTGACACACAAAAAAAAACATCAGTCAATTATGTCTTGATGCTTGAGCTACTCTCCAAAAACAATAGAGTTAGGTTAATTGGCTGCTTTAAAAAAAATTCTGTAGGTGTAAATGTATGAATTTGTCCTTTGTTGCCCTTTGATGGATCAAAAACATGAATGATTTTACAAATACATTTAAACTAAATGTCAGGGGAAAGACATCTATTATCAAAACAACTTCTCTGCATGGTGAGCAAAGAAACAAACTAGAAAAACCAGATCAGACTCTTAAATAATAAGGAAAAGCTAAACAATTATCAAAGGAAATTTATGAAACAGGAAAAAAGATCTAATAAAGAAATGTTTTCATATATTACACCCAACAAAAAATATAAACACAACACTTTTGGTTCCATTTTTATGAGATTAACTTAAAGTTCTAAAACTTTTTTCCAAATATACAATATCACCATTTCCCTCAAGTATTTTTCACAACCCAGTGTTGCATTTATATTTTTGTTGAGTGTGTTTAGAAAGTGGAAAATAAGGAATTCTGTGGAAGTACATAATGATTTCCATCCATTCATCCATTTTCCTTCACGCTTATCCCTGCTGGGGTCTCTATAAAAAAAAAAGAGAAAAAACCCCCCAAAAAAACAGAAATTATATCTATGAAATAGGAGCTACAAATAGAATTCAAAGGCAAATACCTATATAAATTCAATGAAATGTGGGCAATTTTGTTTTGATTAATATAAAATTGAATCAAATTTCTTTAATAAAGGTTTAACATAAAAAGCATGCAAGGAGTATTTGTAATTTAACAAATAAAATCTTTTTAGCATTTCTGGCGGTGGTTGAGAGTTATCCCTTAATAATCTGTCACTTTAGCTTTGACCTTCTCCCCATTGTCTATCTTGTTTTTGCTTCTTCTGACACCCCCCTCCTACCCTTGCTGTCTTTTGGTCTCTTTTTCCTCTCTTTTCCACCCCTCTCTCAGCATGTTTTGAGCTTTGAAGTCACAGCTCTGACGAGTCAAAGATGTATTATTCAGGAGCTCTATCACATACATAAACACACGTGTGTGAACACCCATTCAGGCCCTATATAGACAACGTGCATAGCTATATCTGTGAGTTTCTGTGTAGTTATTGTTGGTTGCTTAGTGAATCAGATACTTTCTATGAAACAAATCTTGGTGAGCGTGAAAACATATGAGCTTCAGTTTTCTGAGGTTTGGTCCTAAGTATGAGTGTCAATGTATCTGTGTGTGATTGGTGACAGTTTGTGTAGCATGGAGTGCTTAAACTCTCTGGCAGTGGGGCTCATTCTCACTTCAATGATCTTTCTGGCATGTTTACTTAGAGCTGACTTGCACGTCAAAACTATCTATCTCACCAAAAGGACCAAGAAAAAAGTATTGAGAAAAATCAAGAGAAAGCGAGAGAGAGAGAGGAGAGATAGAGCGTGAGAAGGAGAGATGGTGATACAGCTCTGTCCCTTGGTGTCACTATTTATTCCGTCATTCTAGAAAACTAACTTAATCAGTTCTGTCCCAAGAGTTTACAATCAGATGTTCCTCATTGAAGAGGCTTTTCTTCTACTTTCAATTATTATCTAGTTTCATTTTGTCTTCCTTCATATGTTTCTCACTATGAAGATAGGTATGTGTCAGAATATCCGCTATTGTGTCTTGGAAGTGAACATCTGGGAAGAACAATGTGAGAAGTTGCAGAGCAAAACAAAAATGTTATTTATATAACTAAATATTTGCTTGTACCAAAAGGTCAAAGAGACATGCAGAGTCAATTTGAGGTTTTATGTTAGTTGCACCCACAGATTTTTTTTCTCCAACAAATAAATTGCAATGCAGTCACTTGATCGCTCATTGTAATCCCTTTTGAATTCTATTTCCCGTACATTTTCTTCCTTGATCAGTAAAACACAGTTATCAAGTTTGCAAATATATGCAAGATTGTTCGTGAAATTAGTTTCACAGTATTCATGCCCAGGGTCCCCAATTGACTAGCACTTAACAGGTAAGATTGAGGGGATCTTAACAGGTAAGCTCAATCAACTAAATTTAACACAGTCATCTCAGATATCTAGGTCATAGTAGTAAAAAAAAAAACAATCCACTATTCTTGGTTTCCTTGTTTAAAGACGTTTCGCTTCCCATCCAGGAAGCCTTTTCAATTCAAAATGTCAAAATTAGCATTGAGTTCCAAACTTTATATAGTAGCCCAAAAACTTGTTTTGGCTTAGAAAACATGCAAATTTAATCAGAGGAACGGGTCCACCCCTTGGGAATGGGAAGTCATTTTAGGGAGTAAATGTACATTTGTTTACTTTGCGTATCTCA